GGATGGACGGATGGACGGATGGACGGATGGACGGATGGACGGATGGACGGATGGACGGATGGACGGATGGACGGATGGACGGATGGACGGATGGACGGATGGATGGATGGATGGATGGATGGATGGACGGATGGACGGATGGACGGATGGACGGAGGGAGGGATGGAGGGTTGGCGGGATGGAAGGAAGGAGGGATGGATGAATGGATGGATGGATGTATGGATGTATTTTACTGAATTATTACACACATTTTACACTAGTATGATTTGAGCTTAAGGCCTAATATCTTTTTTTCTGTCATACTGTCATGAGCTATATATAATTTCCGTATGCTTTCCTATACCATTCATCCGATTGTGCTAAGATTTTGGTAAATTGTTGTACTCAAGCAAGCAAATTATTATTTTTTCTTATACGAGCTAGACACCTATAATTCACACATAGCTATAGCATTGGTGTAAGCAATTGGATAAACTACAAGCGATATTTCAGTTTAAGTGAAATAATAATGTTTCTGAATTTGCACAACCGTTTTACAATTTGGTGTTTTGGGCTGGGGGCTAATATTTAAAAAAAAAAAAAAAAAAAAAAACATTTTGTGATCAATATAAATATAATTTCAAACAGATCAATCGCTACAACAAGTATGTGGACTAACTTATTAAAATCCATGCTTATGAAGTGGACAGCTGTATGTGGCCTGTTCACGTGGACAGCTGTATGTGGCCTGTTCACATGGACAGCTGTATGTGGCCTGTTCACATGGACAGCTGTATGTGGCCTGTTCACATGGACAGCTGTATGTGGCCTGTTCACATGGACAGCTATATGTGGCCTGTTCACATGGACGGCTGTATGTGGCCTGTTCACGTGGACAGCTGTATGTGGCCTGTTCACATGGACAGCTGTATGTGGCCTGCTCACGCGTCAAATAACCTTTTAATTTATTTGTGCACGCACAAGATGGAAAGAATACAAACATATTTTCTATTTAAAAATTACTTCAAAAACGTAATTAAAACACAAACACTTTTTTTTTCTTTGAGTGGGATTGCAATGCATGCCGGGTTCTCGCTGGTATGGTATTAATCAAATAATCTCCTACTAATATCTCTAATATGATTTCACTTCCTGTAATACTACTTCATGCAACAACAAAGGCAATCTCTAAATATTTTTTTTTACTGTACTGTTTCTGATCGTATTTAAATTTTTCTTATGCTCCGAAAAAGGCTCTAAGTCTAAACGCTCACAAATTCCTCTCTTTTATTCAAACTTCAACATATTTCGTTTTACCCTTTCATTTGGATTATTTACGAAGTATTCTCACTTTCAATCTTTTTGAACTATTTTCTCTTCATTTTTTCTTTTTTTTTGATAATTGTTGATTTTGCAAAAAGGCCAAAAGGCCTTGGATTAGATCCTTATTATTTGAAAGCTGGTTCCTGAAAATGCATTTAACTTCTTTCCACGCCGTTGAATAACCCAAGGATTGAACATGTGGACTCTTGTTATATGCGAATCAGTTTTGTTATAGTTGGTACGGATTATCATGATTTTGTCATAAAAATTTGTTTCATATATTTTAGTATCTCTGTGTGTCTTAAATTTATTTTAAAAAAAATAAAAAAAAACACTGTAATTTTTTTCACATCTCTAACACATTTCTCTACATCCAAATTTTCAGACTGCAACCTTACTGTTTCCAATCCATCTGGACAGTTTGTCAGTCCTAACTACCCGAAGGAAATTGCTAATTATAACTCGTGCGGGTGGACTTTGAGTGACAATTCAAATATTTACTATGTCGTTAGGTAAAAATGATTTAGTAATAAATTATTATCTTTCATAGGTATAACATTCGTGTGCATTTTTTTATGTTCTAAATATTGCATTTGTAATGCATATTCACGTTCACGGAAATTCAAATTATAGAGGACAGGGTCAAGATTGCATCACGAAACTAAATACACTTGGCTTTGACAGTGAACGTTTTCAAAGTATAGACTACTGCGTTTCTTAGGATAACATTGAGGCAGACATAGAATCGGAAGATTTTGATGACAAAGGATTAACAGAAGTTTACTAATGAAAATAGGTGATAATGGTAGAATATGCAAATACCAACGATTAAAAAAAATAAGAGCAATTATGTAGTCGGAATTTAAATTTGTTACTCTCAGTTTGAATATGTGGGATATTTTTGTGAATGCACAACTTTAACTCCTGTTTTCTTTCAGCATTCCTGAGATATGCATTGAAAACGTTATTGTCTGGCGTATTGACGAGCTAATTATTAACATCAGAGGCACTGTAACGAACACGTCGATTTGTAACACAGGCGATAACAGCACATACATTTTTGCTTCTTCAGGAAAGTATATGTACTTTTTTTTTTCGACACGCCATAGTCCTGCTCGGAGATTCAGTGGATCTTATCGTAGTTATGGTATAAGATGTGTTTTGTGATTGAATACATTATCACTTGCTACAGAGTTGTTGCTTAATGAAAATTTTAAGCACCATAATCCCCGCAATAAGAGGATTTGAATTTCAATAAATTTTAAACATGTAATTGTTTTTTTTTAATTTGTTTTTTTTTTATTTAGAAAACTTTAATGTTGCTATGAAGAGAACAAGAATATCCTTTGTTTAAATTTAGTAATTTTGACTAACAGAGCTCACTTCTTTTTAGAATACAATACAACAATAACGGAATCAAAATTTGGATACATTGCCAGCCCCGGTTATCCACTTCAGAACTTTGCAAAGTCTTATTTCTCCTGGATCATTTTGAGAAGCCATGATAGTTTTATGTCTTTAAGGTATTTAAATTGTTTTTTAAAACATTTTTTTTTTAAAATTATAATGTCAGGATTGATGAAAAGAAAATGTCTGACATATCTTTGTGAGATTTTATTTTCAAATATTGTTTTCTAGGCTTATTTTAATTATTTACTAATCTAAGTTCTAAAATGACTTTAGGCTTTCATAGGTTTCCTTGCTCCAAACAACCACATTGAAAAATGCAAGTTCAAGTAACAGTTTGTCGAAATTAATGTTTTAAGGAATAAACCACTGTAATTAGATAATATGAATTTTGGAAACATGAGAAAAGGTTCCATAAAACACAACTATCCTGTTTGTATTTAAGATTAGGGCCCTTATAAAGTTTTTATATTTTTAGCTACTTATTTCTACTCAAGCCTTTTTAGAAGTATGACTATTGTTTGAACAAATACGATTAAACTTATTTGGATAGGGAAAATCATAAGAGCAAACCCATCAAACAATATAAATTAATAACAGTTGTTTAGGTGTTTAACTGAAAGCTTTTAATATTTTATTTGTTACCGATTACCCAATTTTATTTTGTGTTCTTTACTTTAGTTTGGCTTTTTATGGGTAAAAATTTCCCAAAACGTCGTTAGTTATTTTGAAATGTATTGATGTGGTTGTATAAAATAAAAGCCAGTTATTATGTACATTCAATTAAAGTGCTGGGCTCCAGTTATGTAAGGACGAATAGTAAAGGTGTTCTTTTGACACCCCTTCCCCCACCTTTTTTTTTTGCGTAGCAATAAATACATATTTATTTAAGAAAGGCGATTCCTTGGGGGAGTTACGCCAGACCTTTACAGCATATGATCCCCGATAAAGCATACATTTTTTAAAAAAACTGTTAACACCATGATGTTATACTTATTTTATTTTACTTTTTACTTTCTTTAGTTTGTATCACTTGGAAAATATTATTATACGATTTGATGCACATTGAGAAGGGTTACAAAAGGACAAGGGGGTGATTCAGTCAATCACGTTTTAGTTATTCAGCTATCGGATAAACCACGCTGCACTACATAATTTGTAAAAAAGTAGCTCATATAATGTGCAAATACTGAATACCGCGTAGAAAGACTATTATCCCTGGGTATGTCATTCAAAATATATAAAGGTATAATTGTATCCATGCCACCTGTTAGGCTTGTAAAATAATGCCATCTGACAAGGCTTAAATGTTTCAAACGAGTTCAAAGTGTAGAAAGCTCCAGATAACAAGCAGCACCTGTCAAGTTTTGTGACATTTAAAATAATAATACAAAAATTAGAATCTTTTTTTGCATCATTGCGGCTCACTTAATTTTAAGACCTGTGTAACAGAGAATAAAGTGCGGCCTATACTCTTTTCTTAACCAGATTGATATGTTGCGAAAACATCGACCGAAAGTGGACTTTATACTAAACCTAAGACATTCTCATGTCAATGATATGAATCTCCGCGACTATTCCAGCAAAATCTGACCGACTGGTCTAGTTCTGATTTTTATTATGATTTAATAGGTTTGCGCGTTGATCACTGGGGTAAAAACTGTTTTAAATCGGACTTACTTTTTCTTTTTTTTTTCATTTTATAGTATTTTATCAGAAAAAATATGGCCAAAGTGCGGTTTTGAGAAAAAAACGCTCCGAATATTTTGTATACTATATCAAACATTTAAAAAGGCAGTTGGAGGGTAATGCACAGCCAAAACTGTGTAAATCGTGGCAATCTGACACAATAAGAAGGATTCCCTATTTCAGATCGCCGGTAATGTGCACTAGTTGGAGAATTCCGAATCTTTCAGTTCGGTCACTTTCACAATAGGGTAAAGTCAAAAAGTCGTCTACGATTAAAACAAATCAACATTAACTCCATGCAAAAGCATCTTCTACAAAAATGCATACCGTATGTTTCCCTTCTGGCTTCTATTTAAACACGTTTTAGCTTTACAATCACTTTTGGGGATCGACAGATTTTTATTTTTAATTTATGCTTTTTTTCGTTTTTGTTTACCAGAAACTCATTATTTTCATAGCATTTATTAGCTGACTATTTTCACTCGACATCACCGGTTTTGTGTTTTCTTACCAAGGATATAATGCCGTGAACAACAATACGCAATGGGACAATCGGGCCTACTTGAGGAGTTTAGGGGTAGCACGATGCTCAATATTCGAGGCTTGTATGTCTCGTTTTTGTAACAAACTAGCATAAGTATGTGCTGTGATTTGTTATTGTTTTAGCCAAAATTAATTTAGATTTATTTAATGTTATTTGATGTAACTAAAACTGTTTGTTGATTCAATATCAGCCAAAAGGTTATTTGAGCAAGTGTCTCTTTTCAATGCTAGCGTGACACTATCTTTGGTAACAAACGAGTGATCAAATGGTGGAGGATCACATTTTACATTATTGTTTTAAATTATTTAGCAATATATATTTCAAAGTCCAAAAATTACGTCATAATTTCTGAATTTACCCTCTGACTACCGCCGTCTCAATTATAATGTTGGTCTTTAAATCTCTCCAAGAGCAAAGTCTCGTGATACGTGATCCGCGATGTTACCGAATGGAGTGAAAATATGTTTTATCGCACAATGCAAATACATTTTTGTGTCAACCGACTTGCTGCGTAGAGAAAGGTTTGCGATAAGCACACACAATTTCAGGAGAGGTGGGAGGTGGAAAGTTAGTTTTTTAGCACATGGGCATTTCGAGGTGTACACAGATTATAACATTAGACGTCATTATTTAACCATACATGCTGAAGAGTATGCGAAATGTCAAGGAGACGATAGAAAGGCCAGATTCGCTAAACTTAAACATATCTGCTGAGAAATCAAACAAAGAGGTATAGCATAAGTTGATACATATATATATATATATATATATATATATATATATATATATATATATATAATTAATTACGTGGNATATGGATAATTAATTACGTGGTGACTGAGATGATTGTTAAAGCCAACACGTCATCTAGCAGGGCGAATTAATCATAAAATTTCTTGTTAATTGTTGCACGTATAGTCTGTCAGAATAATAACTGTCGGTTTAGCAACATCAGCCTTTCAGACAACACAGTGGCTTAGCGCATTTCTCAGCTGTCAGGTAACGTTTATGATCAATTTATGAGAAAGGTCAACATTTCCATGCATACCCAGTCGATCGAGATGAGAGCACAGAGAACATTACAGCTATTTAATGATTTTATTTTTATTTAACTTAACAGACACAAAAATGCGATCCCTTAATTTTAACTATCTTTTTTATTAAACACTTTTTTTTTTCATTTCGCTTCATATATTAACTTTCGTTTTCTTTTTGTAAAATCAATTTTTGATTTATTATTTGTTAATTGATTTTATTTTCATTGACCAGGATAATGGGCCTTTATTTAAATGACACACTTAACTGCACACATAACAATCTAAAAATCTATGATGGAGCAACAATAAATTCTCCACTCGTTGGCACATTTTGCTCTGCACTGTCAAGGTCTACGATAGTTTCAACATCCAACGCCCTACTTCTTGTATTCGAAACAGACGGAAGTCGTATTTATAAAGGCTTCAGCGCCACTCACAGCACTGCTGGTAAAGCTCTTTAATTTTTTTAAATTTTCAAGCCTGGGATGCTCGCAGTGAAAGGTAATGTGAGGTGTGTTTTTTTTTTCACGCATCTGTCGGAGTGGGAGTGGCAGGAGCTTTCTGGAGGAAATCAAGCGCCCTTTCCCATAACTATAATTGATACAACAATTTACGAAAATATCATTTATTTTAAAAAACAACAACACCTAAAACAATCATTTTTAAATTGAGTTCCTCTTGATATGACTCCAGTAAAAAAACTATGAGAAAATAATTTTTTTAACTTAAAATTCGTTTATCATACCTATTTTAAGTTTTCTTTTTGTATTTTTTCTTGTTTTAGAAATTGTTCTTGCTTTTTTAAATTGTCACTTTCGAAATAAAGTCTTATGATTTATTTGAAAACATGTTGAAGAAGATCAAAGAAATAATTTAAAATTTACCTGAAAAAAGTTATACGAGTTCAAAATTCGTAATAAATACTTCAATCAACTAAATATTGAGAAATGTATACATTATAATTAAACGAGTTTCCTCATATAAGACCACTAATTAACTATTATATTTTTTTGTGGTAAATAAGTCATGTATTTTTAACATAATTTAACCATTTTTATTCCATTTATAAGATTAAATGTTTTTTTAAAAATAAGAAAAAAAATACCTCCCCACAAAATGTTATATTCTTTTTGACTGAGCCAAAACTTGGAAATATTTAGCAATTGTAATCAGTACATGTAAGTTTAAAAAACAAATTCTTTGTCCTGAGTGATCAATATGTGTTGTTGTTGTTCGTAGTTCGCAACCCAAAGATACCAATGCTATATTACCACAATGACGCAAGTGGCTTGCAAGTCCAAGGTGGGCCGCGCAAGCATTTTGGTATGTTGTACACGCGAAGTTGTAGGTTCTACTAGGATTTGAGTCGACATTTCTTTTTCTCGCAGTGCGCTTTCTTTGAGCGTGAGCGCTACGCTTATTCTCTGATGATTTTGCTCCGAAAATGAGTCTGTCATGTCAGCTTGCATATAGGAGGTATTTTACTACTACCTATATACATTCAGCTTGGTGATAAGGCTGAGACCACTTCGCTCCCACTCATTTCAGCAGAGCCTTCTAAATGCAACATTTTCGTTTAAATTTCGGTTATTGATCTCATCATTTATTTTTGCTGACCTGGAGAGATTGCGTCCTGCATATGTGAATTTTTCTACTGCTTGAAGATTATTTACCTTCACTAATGCTTCAGATTCTTTGTGAGCTTTCACTGGAGCTGGCACATTGGTGTTTTTTTCGATTGGATTGCGAGGCCGTATTTCTGACAGGCCTT